ATTTTTATAACTATCCAAAAAAGGCTTTGGAGCAAAGGAATAAAGAGACCCAGATTAAGATTTTTAATTAAAAATATTAATTTTAAATTTTTTTAATTTAAAATATAAAACCTTTATACACAAGGACCTCTGGATTTCTATGGCCAGCCTTCTCAAATACTTCAATCTCTGTTGATTGCTTGGTTAAATTGGTAATAACCCTTAACTCCCAGACCAAATTTGTACTTCTCCTTACTGTCAACCATACAATTTTTATAATCTTAGTTCAGAGAATTTAGTATTGGATCGACTAATTATCCCCAAATTAATATTTTTCTTTATTCTCATCACTTATCTGGTTGATGTTGTATTGATATTGTAAGGAGAAATTCTGTCTTGGTCACTCATGGGAGTTAAAGGGTTAAAGTATATGTTGTGGCAAACGAACATCAAGGCTTGATGAAGTGCCAAGAAAATCGCGATCGGAGAAAATGCCAACCAAACCAGGGTATATGTTACAGAGACATAACTTTAATCAATCTCGTAAACTGTAAGTGAATTAAAAAAGGGACTTATATAATAGATTGTATTTCATTAAACACGTGGCGACTTAACAGCATAAATGAATCTAACATAATAAAGGAACTAACAAATGAACCAAGTGCTATGGCAAACACAAAATATATATAAAAATAAAGACGAAAGAGCTTGCTTGAAACGAGATAAACAACAAAACAAGCGAAAACAACTTACATATCAGTCCCTATACGCCGGTGGCTTGAAATCAAACTTTATAAATTAACTTTGGATGCACGCCGAACATGAACAGTGAACAATGAAAGTGGGAGAGAAAGACTATCTAAAGGAATCAAATAGCACAGAGGCCAACTGTAACACAAATGTCACGTAAGTTTGAAAGTCACGCATTTACAGTATAGGTGATAGAAAAGGAGGATTTAATGTGTTGTAAGATTCATATATAAAGATAAAACAATTATCTCTGTGTTTCCATCAGAAATGTCTTCTTAGAGTACCCGAGACATGGGTATAATAGATCTTTTGAGTGGCTTATTTGTAGTAAAGCAGCTAGTGAAACTGTGGCCTGAGATGGCGAAAGATCTCATTTCTGTTTTTTTAGGAATGAAACCCTTTTCTTCCCAATTTCTTTACATATTTAGACTTCTCAATTTCTTCTTTAGTTCTGATTACTATGCAATTCTGATGTCCAACTCTTTTACAATAGTACATTTCTGTACACTCATGCCGCCCCTAAAACTTGTTTTTTTCTGATTTGCTCTAAAAACAATTGATACAATGATTTATCTCAACTTATGTCTGACAACAAAGACAGCAATCCATCATTTCATGAAGAACAGCTTCCTGCCATTGCAGCACACAGCAGCTTTCCTTTTCTTTTTTCCACCCATCAACAGGCACTTCACAAGTGAAAACTTAAACACAAAAAAAAAAAAAAACGGTAAAAACAATTCAAATTTATCTTTGTTAATGCTTTATTTCTGGTCCAATTGATCCCTTCAGGCCTGTAGGGGATCCAGTACAGGCCTGATTTTTTTTTTCAGGTCTTATTTTCACTACTGCCTCAGTAGTGCTCATTACTGCAAAGATTGCTTCCATATTCATTTATTTATCCACAGTTCCCATATGAGATTTTCATAAATTTATAGTCAGTTAAGAATGAATGAATTGCCAGTAATCAGATCCTTGGGTTTGGGCAAAGATTTCTGGGTTTGCCACAGGGCAAACATTGCAACTCCCTTGAAAGGAATGTATGGCAAAATGTAGTTTCAAGGTCCAAAAAAGTGATTTTGGAGAGAGATTATCACTTTATCGCCCCAGTTTTATCATAAACGAATAAAGATAATGTCGATACGAGGAAAGTGTAAGTATTCATTAGATTCCACGGGTAAGACAACAGGAGTATAGTAAGATTTAGGCTTTCTCCTCTTTCTTGCACTTACCACCATGCTTCATATGTCCTGCAAAATCCACTCCAATGACATCAAAAGGTGTACTCCCTTCAGTACGTGACTTCAGCAGATGACCTGGTGGAGGGTAATGAAGGGGCTGAGCCTGGAACCTCTTGCAGCCATAGCACTGCTTCACTACTCTCTTAGCAAGCCGTAGAAGCCTTGGAACCCTTGGCACTTCAGCCATAGTCATGCTGACTCCCCCATGGAGAGTTGTCTCATGAGCTTGCTTCATTATTTCTACTGTGAAAGACTTAGAATCTGGTAAGTAAATCAGATACTCACCCTGAATGCATCCTCAGTATTCCAATACACCATATTGGTGTTTAGTTGCAGATTCAGTTGCTCCTGGTCATGGCAAACTTGACCATCTTTGCCCCTTGGCTCTGCACTTACTTGATCCAAGACATTTCTTGTTGCTGAATTTCTTTGGTCGCAAGAGATCCTATTATCTACTTGAAAGGGTGGCAAGAATTTCGATTGAACTGTTAGGTCCATGCACAAATTCTGATGGCTTTACACGAGCTGAACTTCTTAAGTACAGTGTCAAAGTCATTGTTTGCGTCAACAACAAGCACGAAAAGTTCTCGCTGAACCTTCTTCTCTGCATTGCTGTCATCCATCACCCTTTGTCATATTATCAGCAGGCCACTGAAATGGGTCAGACAACCATGACCGACCGTTCAACCATAGCTCCGCTTAATTCACACTGCTAGGCTCCCCAGGTCAGCAGGGTTTTTAGATGTTGGTACTGTCCAACCAGCACTGTTTATCCTCTATCATATTGAAGCCTTCTAGTGCAGCCTGCACATTTGTTGACAAGTTGACTGCCATGTGGCCCGACATGAGCTCCAAACGAGGAATCATCAGACTTTTCTTAGCAAGGCGGGATTTGGCGGCAATCAGACCCTGTGTCACACCTAACGCTTGTGTATTTGTGCCCAAATGCATGAAGTTTAGTGTTGCTGATCGGTTCCTGGTACTGAACAAGACTGCAAAGAAAGTATACATCATCCGGTGCATTCTTTTCCCATTTTAGTAACCGTTTCGCAATCCCCTCGGGAAGTGGGTTTCAACACCTGTAAGCATGGCAAACTCGTACTCCTTACTTTAGCTTTAATTGAATTAGAGAATATGTTAAAACTTCTGTTCCTCAATGGATTCCTTTAACTTGACTACTGCAGTCACTAAGGCCTCAACGGAAACTTTGTCTTTCAAGTCTCCTGTCTTCTTCAAACGAAAATTCAACGTCTTCAATTTGCCCTCCGGATCGGCAATTTGTTTGCCAATGATTCCAACATGGTCCTGGCAGGGTCGCCACTGTCGAAAACGTGAAAAAGCTGTACCACACTTCCTTATTGAATCACGATTTATTCACTTGATTTGACGATTCTCCTACCACGCTTCGGTTAACTCCCATTCACAACTCTCGGTTTAGTCGAAGGAAACCTATATCAGACGTCCCGTTGTAAGCGTGTGGAACAGTACCATATATGGGGTGATAAAACACGTGCCGCATACATGTTTGTTTGGTTGGTGTACGACATCAATCAAGCTAAGAATAATTAACGTAGCGTCCAGTTTCCAACACTCTTTCTTAGCAGATATTTCTCAAGTTCAGACCGGATCATCAAAAACTCCGGTTGATTTCTTATATTAAGATGTTCGAAAGCATAGAAATGTAAAAAATATCTGGCACTTTTTAATTTTCTTCGCCTGAGTGACTTCAAACTTTTTTTGATTTTGCTAGCGTGACAACAGAATTATGCAAATTACCTGTTGAGCAAACTCCGACCGGCTTTCCGATTCGAAAGGATCGAAAGGTGAAGTCTCGCGCATGCGCAGGCAAAACGCAATATACAAAAGAGAGTTACTACATCACGGAGCTACATCACGGGCGACGAGCGGGGATAGAAAAAACGACCCAAATACGAGTGGTCAGCGGTGAGACAACTTTCATACTTCATATATAGACAGATCATTTGTAGTATCAGGAAACAATCGTGTTGTAAAGCCGAAGTGTAAACAGTTTACTTCGCTAAATAAAATGTTTAAGCAATTCAAAAGTGTTGATTGTACATATATCTTTTACTGCTTTAATAAACAATGAAGGCATCGGTGGCATCCGAAAGGTACCAAGAAGAATTAAATGTACGTTTTGTAGTTGCAGAAAACAATCGTGTTGTAAAGCCGAAATGTTACCAAGTTACACTTCGCTACTTAAAAAGTTAAGCAATTTTCCTCAAGCTTTCACTGGAACAATACTTTTAATGCTCTATTAACCAATGGATGCATCGGGAAAGGCATTAGTGACACCGGGAAAGGCATCAAGAAGAATGATATTAACGTTATGTAACTTGTTGTGTGACGAAAAAAACGTATCTTGACTTGACGGTTAAGAATATATGAAGGTCATATATTTTAACTGCGGATAAAGACATGAATGAAAGTGATCTTCGCAGTGATGTGCACTACTTAGGCAGACTTGTTCAAAGCATTAATCACAGTTGGCTTCCTTTTCACTTGAATTTTGTATCCACAGCCTAAGATGAGAATTTAAAATTTCTTTCAACTGAAGTTCTTTTACTGCATATTATATCTATTCAATCGCCCCCAATTCACGTGGAAAAAAGGCAAGTAGGAAAACACTGAGCTTCGAGAAACAGCCATGTTAAGGCTAATGTATTTACCATTCCTTAAATATTTACAATCAAGACCACTCGTTTAGGAGACCTTTTCTCCAAGGATTCACACGTGCAAATAATTCTGTTTTCCGTTCGAAATGTTTTTCTTCCTATTCAATTGAACAACTGACTTAGCGTTTAAGCCGAGAAAAAAATCACAAAGTTTGAATTCTGGGATGTTGTCCACTGTTGGCTCCATCAAGTTACGATTCTGCACCATTGACGCTCGTGGAAATCTATCTTAATTGACTACCAAGGACTGTATTTCTTATCTTGCAAGTTAAGGTCTGTACATGACATTAAGTTCATCATCTGGTTCGTTGTTATAGTCAGCTTTAAAATTTAAACTCTACTTGTGCTGACAAGAAGCCACCCTAAGGGCAGGTGAAATGTTGCGTAAGCGTCTCCGCGAAAGGCACATCCAGACAACTTGCATGGAAAAACTGGCCGCAGCTATCGCACCCAAGCCAATCCTCTCCATCGTCGTCTTTGCAAATCTTACAGACCGCGGTATTTCTCCTATAATTGAACAAAAGATATGGGACGTCAAAGAGAGTGTTGCGGCGTTTAAGAAACAATGGTATTTGACACCATCAAAACTTACCAATCAAGGTCATCATAACACGAGCCAAATATGACAGACGTTATTCTTTCCCTTTCCGGTCATGTCCACATCGTAACTTCCATTGATATACCATTGATGTACCTATATACCTGTTTGAGAAAATCTGTTGTGGTTTTTCTCTTTTGAATGGCTTTCTGTAAGTACATAACACGTGGAGTTCAATGCCTGAAATGAAACTAACAGATCATCCATCTCTGCTCTGTTTCCCTCGAAATATCTAAAACAATAATTGCCTTCAACAGAAAAGCCATTGAGATGTTCTTTCAAAAAGTCGATCTCTAAATCTCTTAACATTGTTGGCTTTTGGTCTTCATCCATGGCAAAATCTTCCAGTAAAAGCAAACTATAGTGCGAAAACCAAGTTCCTACCAAATTTGATTGACATTTTTGACAACCGGAAATCATGATACTTTTTTTTCGTCACGCACGTCACGAAGCTAACTACAAACCATACATATAATTATTCTTGGTGCCTTTCCAAATGCCACTGACTCCCTCTCCGAAGCCTCCATTGTTTATTAAAGCAGTAAAAGATATGAGTTCAATCAACACTTTTGAAAAATTGCTTTAACTGTGAAGTAAACTGTTAACATTTCGGCTTTACAACACGATTGTCTCTAGAACAACAAATTATATGTCTCTATATGAAGTATAAAAGCTGTTTCACCGCTGACCGCTCATATTTGGGTCGTTTTTTCTATCCCCGCTCGTCGCCCGTGATGTAGTAACTCCCTCTACAAAATGGCGAGTGATATGAAGGCAAGAAGAGCTAAATTGACTATCGCGGTTTTGAGTAATGGAACTTGCTCAAGTATGACAAATAGGCGAATTAGATGAAAAGTAGAAACGCTGTTTGGGTAGCGGCTCATTCTGGAATGGAAATAGTCCTTTGAAGCAAGCCTTGAACATACAAAATGGTTTGCCATGTTCATGTGACTTGGGTTACTTTGTAGTTTTGGTGTGAGGACAGGATTTCGTTATGCGTCTAAACTTGAACTTTTCGTTTTGATTCTTTCTGTGTCACGGCCACTGTAAGTTATTTCCCATCGCAGTGTTGTTTTCACTGTCAAATTGTGGAAGATGTCAAAGAGGAGCACTAAGTTCAGATGGATAAAGGGGGTAAGTTTCTAAAGAAGTTGTGGTGCTGCGTCGGTGGGAGGGTATAACAGGTAATTTAGTGATAAAAACTGAGTTGAAATTGTAAATTGGCCACCGTAAAGGGTAAAAAGCTGAAGTTTCGAGCGTTAGCCCTTCGTCAGATGTAGCTTATCATGGTGAGTCATGATGATTATATCTCTTCACAAATATCTTTATTTCTCAACAGAAATACATCCTCGCCTTCTTTTGGTCGCCATTTTTAAATATTCTGACAATACACAGGAAAGGGGTATCAAGCCGAAGAAAGTAACTCTTTCGTTGAAAAATGTTATTTTTGGTTTGGTTTGTCGCGACTATGTCAGTGAGATTTCACAATATATCCGCATATTTCATATTGTTGAGTTTAGTAACCACTCACCTACGGTCGCATGGCATTGTGGTAGTATATCCTGTCGCATTAACGTGCGCAAAAGTATCACAGAAGTACAAGGGAGGATGCAAAATTTTGTACAAGCCAAGCGGGAGTTAAACGCCATATTCGGAGACCTTACAAAGTATCTTGAAGTCCGTAGTGAATTCTCAGCGGACTACAGAATAGCTGATGAAGATGAGCGAGACATCGATAAATTTTCAAGCGAGGTAAGAGTTTTGAATATCGCGCAAAGGGACACGACAATCAAGAATTGGTATTAAATTAAATATTGTGAAACCGGTGTATATCACACAACCTTTTGATTGTTTGTAATTTTTTTTTTTATATTTATTTTATTACTTCAAAGCTACCTTGATTGATACTTTGATAAATTTATTTATTTATTTGTTCGCACAAGCATCATAATTATAGCAACACTGGGTGAAGCGTTTAACTTGGGCTTATTTCGGAGACCCCCTTTACTACCTGATAAGACAAGTCTGGCAGTCAATGATTACAGATCTTATACATTGATTTACAGATTCGTGAGTAAGTTACATTGGTATTGAATATATTACTATAAACTATTCATTAGAATATAATTTTTAAATTTTCGCTTAAAAGTCGATTTATACTGGATATTTTTTAGATCACTTGGTAAGCTGTTGTATACATCAACTCCTTTAAAACTAATGCTTAATTTCCTGAGGTTTGTTTTGACACAAGGCCTGCGTAATTTTTTGTTTGAACGAGTGTTGTGGTTGTGAACTTCTTCATTAGTCCTAAAAATATTTTTTGATGAGATAGGTAATTGATTATTTGAAAATTTTTTCATTAAGATAGCAATAGTGTAATAATTAACTTGATAAACATTCAGTATCTTCAGATTATCAAATAATGGTTTTGAGCTGTGATTGTATTCTTTGAAGGTTATTATTCGTACAAGTTTCTTTTGCAGTTTGTATATTTTCTCGAGATGAGTCTGATATGCATTAGCCCATACAACATTGCCATAAAAAATATTGGGGTAGATCAGGGCATAGTAAATTGATTTCAGTGACAATCTAGTTACAAAATGCCGTGCTTTACATAATATACCTGTTAGCCTTGATATTTTGTTTGCAAAGAAATTAATGTGTTCTTTCCACTTCAGTTGGTTGTTAACTATTGTTCCAAGAAATTTTGTGCTTTTTACTTGAGTAATATAATGATCTTTGATTTTTATATTTAGTTGTTTAGTTATTTTTTTGCTTGATGATTTAAACAGCATGAAATTTGTTTTTGTAATATTAAGTGATAATTTGTTTAGTTGTAGCCACGTATTGATTTTAATGCAATGTTGTTATATTTACAATATTGTTTAAAATTTGTACATACACCATTCAGGATTTTCATGGATTAAGCTTTTAGATAGATTGCACAATAATTGGTTAATGCAAAATACAGACTGCAGACTGCAGACCAGGGGTAAAGTGTAGACTTGGTTCTATGAGAACCAACCGTTTATGACTATGGTTGTTAAGACTTTGTTGAGAGGTTTTTAATTGGACCCCTATCTCGCACCCACAAATTTGCATTAAATTTAAGGGACTTGTCCACCTAGCTTCACAGCACAAAACAAAGGTACAAGAAATAGGTTTTAACCCAACAACATCAGTTAAAAAAACGCAAAAATTTGTCCACATTCAGTTTTTAATTCATATCTCAACAAATATTTACAGGAATAACACCTACAATATGTCATTTTAAAGTGTATAAAGTGAGCTTCTCAGGAAAAAAAAATTCATCATTGAAACCCAGGACTTTCCTAAAAAGAAAATTTAAAACACAAAATAAGTAAGACATAGTATAAAACTTGAGGTCAAAGTCACTTTTCCTCATAGGTATAGGTTAATTAAGATTAATTGATAGCAGAAGTTAATTATTAACATGTCAGCTACATTTCCTGAAAATCTGAAAGAAAAAGAATAAATAATGAATTTTTTATGAATTTTTATGTGCACCCATGTCATTCCAAAAAAATTAGCAAAAATTTGTCCACATTCAGTTTTTAATTCATATCTCAACAAACATTTACAGGAATAACACCTACAATATGTCATTTTAAAGTGTATAAAATGGGCTTCTCAGGAAAAAAAAATTCATCATTGAAACCCAGGACTTTCCTAAAAAGTAAAATTTAAAACACAAAATAAGTAAGACATAGTGTAAAACTTGAGGTCAAAGTCACTTTTCCTCTCAGGTATAGGTTACTTAAGATTAATTGATAGCAGAAGTTAATTATTGTCCAGTAATTGAAATTGCTGATGTGTAATGAAAGTCTATCACTACTACTTTCAAGGGAAAACAAAGTATATATGAGCTACATGTATGCTAAAGCTACCTAATGTTGCTCAACAGAACTGTTTGTTCCTTAACAAGGGAAATGTATTTAGCTTGCTGTGAACTGCCTATTCAAACACTAATGTTTCTAATTGTTCTTACCTTAAAACAATATGTCAATGCCAAAACCATTTGAGGAAGTGAAGTTCAAGAAATCAATCGCCATGACAATTATTGCTAGCCTCTAAGACAACAATTTCACAATCTCATTTATGGACACTGTGACTTAAGTTCTTTGTAGAACTTATTTGTGGTGCATCTCACTCTATGCACACTCTAGGTACCTGCACTGTCACTGCAATTTTTTAATGTAATTAATTCTTATTAAGTCAGTACTGATTATTGCATTTCTCTCCCACAGGTGTTAGGCTTTCTGGCTCAGGTTTCAAGCATCTCAGAGATAATATCAAGGGATCAGATGAAGGTGGCATTCTTTGGACGAACCAGCAATGGAAAGAGCACTACAATAAACGCCATGCTACAAGATAAGATCTTACCAACAGGAATGGGCCATACTACAAATTGTTTTCTCAGTGTACATGGTTCAGATTTAACAGATCCATATATCTTGGTTCCTGGTAGTAATGAAAAAAAGAATGTGAAGGTATATCTTCTTAAAAATTATTGTAAGTTTCTCCTTTGTAATAATTATTTGTACCACATTTTCTTGAATATGCAACAAGTGCATTTATTTCAAACTTTGCCTGGTGTATCTGGTGTTTATAAACATCAGGATGGTGTTTCAATCTGGGTTTGGTGAGTCAACTTTTCATAATATCCATATTTCAAGACTGACAGGTAGTTGGTTAGGAAAACATGATTTTTCTCTGTCAAACTGTCACTTAGTCTTGTAACCATAAATATGATTTAAGGTTAATAACCTGTATTTGATTTTTATAGCCTGACAGCAAATAAAGGCCTAAACCTTGATCAATTACTCATACCGTTTAATTCTAAACTAGCAGTATTTCTTTGGTGTTTAAATAGTTTTAACAATTAATTTTGGTTTGACATTCAGTTTAGACAACATTAATGGTACTTAAACTATCTTAAAGCGTAAAAATACTTATGAAATAGATTAAATAATACTCCAATTGATATCTGCCCTGCATAAGTTAATGAATAGTTAATAATCATGATACTTACATACTTTTCTTTTTGGTATCGAAACAGTCATTAGGTCAACTTGCCCATGCCTTGTGCAAAGAAAAGCTTGATCCTAGCAGTCTTGTTCAAGTGTTCTGGCCAAAGTCCAGGTTTGATTTTGTTTTGTAATTTTTATATCATTCACATGTACTCACAGGTAACTGTTGTCCCTGTCAATCAAAGTGCATTTACAGTTCAACCTTGCAAACTTTATTCATTAGTTGTAAAAGTAGAATCATTATGTTGTTTCCTATGTTGTACATGAATTGTTCTTGTCCAGGTTTTTTCCAAAGAGGTTAAGTTTGTCAACATTTTTTGGCTTCAAATTGATTCTGTGATTATGTATTAGACTTATCATAAAATATCTGATTGGTCAAGAGCATTCAATCAATATACAAAAGCAGAGGAAGTTGACAAGATAACCCAACATTGTATTTATCATTTGGAGTTTATAGTCTGCCTTAAGTGTCCAAGCCCTTACCGTGTTTCTTCACCTATAAGTCAGGACCCTAAAAGTTAGAGACCTTCCAACGGACTTGTGTTGTCCAAAAGGAACAGAAAGACCACCGGCTATAAGCTATAATTCATGATTGTAATGGGCCATTTGAGGGAGTGAGCCTCGCGCAAACAATTGGGAAATGGCTCAGTGAACACAAAAGCTAATGGATGAGAATAAACCCAAAAGAAAAAAAAGCAAATCAGTGAAGATGTTAATACTACTACAGTATGTGTACATGACTGCAGAAACACAACAATACTCTCAGTTACTGTAACCTGACAAACATTTCAATCGAGAATCTCTTTCATCTCTGTTATTTTTCTCATCATGCCAAAAGCACACTGCTCTTTGTATACTATAGCTTTCAAGATAAAATTTATCACAGAGGCTGAAGCTGTAGAAAACAGCTCAGAAATCACTCAAGATCATGGACATAGTGAGTCCGTGGTGCAACGCTGGAGAAGAGACTAGGTGGCTACTCTTTCTGGCAAGCTTAAGATGTCTGCAAAACATGCAAAAATGGGCCATTTCACTCCCAAGTGTCCTGAACTAGACAAGCAAGCAATGGAGGGGTTTTCACAGTAGAGAGACCAAATATTTCGTTTGTAATGTGAAATGAGAAGAATTTTTGCCGAGTTGAGTGAGATCGTCCTTCAATGCGTGGGAAGCAGAGAATCTGATTTGTGGTCAGAAATATGTTGTTGTCATGACAATTTTAAAGCATGTCATGAAAAGAGCACTGCAGTCATGGAATTTGCATTCCTTTCACATCATCATTAAATTTGTACTTGTTTTTGAATCCCAAATCCTTGGCGATAAGCTGAACCCCATTTCTTGCGAAAAAATCTCCCAAACTTTTGTGTCAAATACTGAAAAAATCACTTGGCTTATAGGTGAAGAAATGCGGTACTCCATGAAGTGTTCTTAAACTTTTGCAAACCAAAAGAAATGTGTCTTCTTTTGCTGATTGTTTTTAAAAAAATGTGTAATCAAAACAATTACCAAATTCAGTTTTTTACATGATTTCATAAATTATTAGGCATTGCGTCTTTGTAATCTGCCTCAGCCTTCGGTTTTGGCAGATAACTTAGAACTCAGCTTTGTTAATTCAAGTTATCACGCTCAACTTCCTTGTTTAATACACATACAAGTATAAAGCTACGTCATTGGTTTTTCAATGAGTGTCCAGTGAAATTAATTTTTTTCTTCTAATAACCACTTGGCTCCTAAATTTTTCAAAGTGGTAGCCAATTCCAAAAAAGTTGAAATGCACTTCTAGTATTGAAAAGCTCTTAGAAAGACTGCCTCTTGTGTCTTAAGAAGATGTAAAAAACGTTCCACACACAATACACATGTTCTAGATTATGCATTTCACATTACATCAGAGGGTTTGTATCATTACAATAAAGTGTTACCTGTACATCGTCATCACTTGTGATGGTTTCAAATTTTTTCAACTTCAGATGTAAAATGTTGTCAAAGGATGTTGTTTTGGTGGATAGGTAAGCAAAATACAAGTGATTAAATGTACTGTATAATTAACCTTGTGAGCCCTAAGAATTAAACTTCTCCTTACAGTTTCACTCCTGATTTACACATTAAGATCACAAGAATTAAAAGAAATGATCACCAACTAAAGAAGCTCTGGACTGTTCGGCAAATTGTATTTGTCTACACCTTAGGGAATGTATAGAGGACAGCTAGGAGAATATGCATACCTATGTTAGAGTGTGAAGGTTTAAGAAGAACAAAAAGACAAAAGAACAAGAAAACATTGAAGACAATAGGTTAATGAGGCATTGCTCTATTGTGACATGTTCTGTGTATTCTACACCAAGAGGAAGCCTGAAATTGCAATGTAAATATTCACAGACAACTGTTATTTTAGTCCTGGTATAGATGTGAACCATAATCTTGATCTGTGGATAGATAAGCACTGTTTGGATGCTGATGTGTTTGTCCTGGTTGTTAACGCGGAGTCAACGCTTACAGATGCGGTATTTTCATGACCATTCATGTGCTATGTGTTAATTTAAGATACATCACATACAAACTTATAATTTGATTGAATTTTTTTTAACTTTCAGTTGCTTTAAAATGTGACTTGTTACAGGACAAATTTATCTAATGTGGTAGCATTCATAGAGGTAACCTTCCCATGCTTGTGTAGTTTCTCATTTGACCCTTGTCATTTGCAGGAGAAAAAATTTTTTCGGAAAGTGAATCAGCGTCTTTCAAGACCAAACATCTTCATTCTAAATAACAGATGGGATGCGACTGCATTGGAACCTGATATGATGGAGCTGGTTAGTAAGCACTTATTTGTTCTTGATAGCCATTCAAATTTGAAATCAAAAGATGTCAAAAATGGAATCAAAACACAACACTGGAGTTGCCTTTCATTTCAAACACTCTTTCCATAAGAAATTGCTGCTGGAAAAAAGTAATGATAGATTCATAGTGGGAGCAGGGGGGGAGATTCATAGTGGGGGGGGGGGCTTAGATAGATGGGAAGGATTAAGGTATGATGATGGATGGGATAACAAACCACTCATCCCACCTTCTCCCATCCACCTGGACAACAACTCCTTTCCCCTTCCCTCCCCCCTCCCTCCCCTCCCTCCCCTCCCCTCCCCCCACTTTCAGATGATAGTGATAAAGTGTGAGTTTTAAATTTTTTTTACCTGGTTTCTTAAGGTGAAACATCAACATCTCACTGGAAGCATCAGTTTTCTTGTTGATGAGCTTCAGTGTGTAGACAAAGGACAGGCAGAAGACAGAGTGTTTTTTGTCTCAGCTAAAGAGGTAAACTGCTGGATATTATATATCAGGGTTTACAAGGACCAATTGCAAATAACTTTGAACAAGTCTTCAAGTTTTGCTACTGCTAAGTAAAGAGGCATTTGATACAGGACACACCTCTTCATTGATTTATTTTCCCACTTTCTTTTCCTGTTTCTGTTTTACCCAGACCTTAATGACTAGAATGCAGAATCACCAAGGAATGCCTCAAGGAGGTATGTGGCTGATCAAAATGTGCATTCTCTTGAGACAGCATGGACAAACTGTTAAAAAGTAAGATTTTATATTAAATCAAGTAACTAGCATTGCCATGTTGTTTTTCAGGTGGTGCCATTCATGTTGAAGGATTTCCTGCTCGACAGTTGGAGTTTGAGAACTTTGAACACAAATTTGAGGTATTGTAGCTGCTGTTCAGGCTTACAATCCAGCATAGTTTTTAGGTAACCACAAGTCTGTCAGCAGATCACTTACAAACCAAAAGATGATCAGCAAAAACATTTGATGATTGCAATGTTGAAATTAATGGCATTGTTATTCAAGGAGTACAAACTTGCTAATGGTAATCTCGCCCATTCAAGCTAATTACAGGTGGTTTACCATCGCCTGAAAGACCCCTAACTGTTATATGTTTAGCATTGAAAGGGGCCTCCTGGCCCCTTTACCTGGGAACTACCACCTTCAACACCATAGGCAGCTGCTCATGGAAAAGGTTATTGAAACCCCTGGGTCTATTGTGTGTTAAATTATTGGTCAGAGCCAGGCAAAGGTTGCTACCACAGAGTCGTGATGTATATGTTAGTTAATGTACTTTTTCCATTTAAAGTTAAACACATGTGCCTGTCAAGAGTTTGTGTCAATTAATTACTCTCACTTCACAATAGAAATTTTACATTCTTGATTTTATAGGAGTGCATTACAAAGTCAGCCATTCAAACCAAGTTTGAATCTCATGCAGTCAGTGGACTGAAAATTGTAAACACATTAGAGGTTCTTATGGAACAAAGAGTGGATTCTGCATCTCAGCAAAGGTGAGAAAGAGACAGATAATTTTTTCATTTTGCTTAATGATTGTGATTTTAGTTAATTGTCAGGTTTGCTGAATTCATAATTATGTTCTATTTTGCTCAGATCTAAACTAGAGGAAATCAAGAAGAAGCAAGAGAATAGACTGGAGTATGTGAAGGAACAGCTTAGAATTTATACAAGTGACACTGAACGCCAGATCAAGGAAATCACCTCTAAAGTTCAGAGTCAGGTAATAAAATAACTACTTAAATGTTCTTTAGGAGGCACAAGTTTAAAACTTGTGGTTTATTCAGTCTTGAATCACAGTAATTTCAAGTTTTTCACAATGTAAGGTTTCAGAACAGGAAGATCAAAAAGTATGTTATCAAATGGATGACTTTTTTTGACATGCTTCTCAGATGCTTGTCAGGTGCCTTTGATATGCATATCAAATTTACTTTGAAGTGTGTGGTAAAATCTTATCAAGAGTTTACCTTAATTTTACTGCTGTAGTGCCTGAGTACACACAGATATGCACCTAATTTGTAATAAGTATGATGACCTATAGTAATGTTACGATATAATCTAACCTACAGAAAAACACTACAATCTCACAAACTCTACTAATTTATTAAACAGCGAGTGATGTTCTTAACAAGGAGCTAATCCTAAAAGCAGTACAATACTTATCGTTAATAAACTTTATTAAGCCCACCACAGTCTATATCCTAGCTCATCACCGATACAATCTCACTGCTGTCTCCAAAGGTCCTTGAAATGAGGTATGTTCCACAGTAACACTCTCTCTCTCGGTATAGTTTTCAAAACAGTTGTCGCTCCAACAACAACAACTACCCCTACTACTACATGAGTCTTTTTATATCTTAACAAAGTGTTCTGGAACATTCCAGAAGCTTACAGAAGAACTATTTTAGTAGTATTACGTAATAAGTGCGTGACTTGATGAAATGTTGTGGAAGTTCTATGGTATGCAAGTCAGCATGACTAAGCAGTCTGGAGATCTTTAGAAGCTTATATTTTTAAAAGTTACACATAATAGTAGTGAGGATAAACACAAATCAGAACACAACCTTACAGAACTAAACTGTCGGAGCTTTTCGCAATTTCCACACCCAGAGTATTGCTACTCCCCCCTGAAATGGAAAGCCAGTCCATCCCATGCTACCCGTCCCCCACCCTGACAACAGTTCTTCATGTTTTCCCAATCCCTTGTTTGTATCCATTTTTACTCTTAGGCCTTTCCGCACCAGCGGACAAAACTAGAATTGTCCCAAAAAAAACCAAAGGACAACTTTTGTCAAATTTCAAAGCCGTCAGACTCCGTCAGCGCCTGATCAGTTCATAAGACCGGCCGGCAAAGGATTCCACCTTCCATTTCCAAGATTTATTCTAAGTCGTTTTAAAATTTTAAGAAACCCTGAGTGTTGCAACAAAAGACATTTTGTGCCTTTCTAGTTAACTGATTTCAGTTCAATAACACGCTGGTCGTAGCTTTTACGACAGATGAATCACAAGTTTATCACGGTTTTGTTTATTTGGTCGGTTTTGTCCAGTTTTTACCTAGGACAAATTCTTTTGGCGTTGGGTTTGAAGATTTGTCCCCTTCGGCCAATGAGAAAGTCTGATGTTGCTTACTCGACAAAATTTTTCCTTTCTTTAGGTGACTGAGGCTATGACAGAAGAGATTGGTCGACTGGACGAGCTGGTGAATGAGTTCGATCATCCATTCCATCCTCATCCTAAGTTCCTCGAAACATACAAAAAGGTGAAAATTACATGTGTAAACAGTTTTGTTGCCGAGCAACAGCTGCAATGGAAGAATAATCTGAAATTGAACACTTTATCACTCATTATGTCAATAGGAGCTGTGCAATCACATAAAGAGTGGCTTGGGAAGGAATATGGCGGCTTGTTGTTCAACTTTTCAAACTCAGGTGATTTGTGAGGCACAAAAAGAAATGGCAGGTCAGTGTTCAGGAACTAATCTATGTTACATGAATGATGTGTGAACATGCATGTGTACGTAAGCCTAAAAATTCTTGAATGAGTATATAGTGAATTGCCGGAATTATCTGAAGAAGTACCTTTGAAAAACAGCTTGCATCAGTTTACAGAACTGGTCGAGCTAAAACCTCCCATGTCTTCCGCCACTGTGATTTTTCTGATCGTAGGTCACTCTCGCATTTTGCACAAGGATTTTGATAGCTAGTTGTCAAACCTGTCAATTTTATCACGCCGCATCAATCAGAAGTGCCATTCGTGGGCAAACAGATTTTTCAAAAGCTTGGATTCGCTTGCGAGCCTTCCTTCCTCTCCCGACCCCAACCCCATCCTGCGACTCTTTTACTCTCGTTCCGCGCATTTCGCGCGGTTATGATATTAAAAAGTTCATCTCTCCTACTGGAACGCTTGTTACGGAGGCAATGCATTAGGGTAACAAAATAACTGAGGTAGAGTAATAACTGAAGGTAAATCATAAAGTCACTTATATGAAAGGGAAAAAGAAGGCGGGGGGGGGGGAGGATTTAGGAGAGGATAACATTGTTTCAAAGGGGGAAAGGAAGGGCGGGGGGTTCAGTCATCATCGACAGAGTATAAAGTGGGACTGTTGAGAATTGACTGCCAACACTAATTTACTGCCAGCGAGGGGGGGGGGAGGGAAATCATAAGAATATTACAGGGCCTTATGAGGGGATCTGGTAAATTTTATCGTGATAAGACCGACATCCTCCGACCCCCACCCCCATCCCCTCAGATGATAACTAATGACTGGTCCCTTAGGTACATATGAATATATTTTTCTTTTCCCAGATCGCCTTCGTAGTCTTCTGCCCGAAACACCAGAGGTATCTCTTGAGCCCGGCACCCCAGCGTGAGTATTGTGTCCCTTAACCCGTTAACCCTTTACACCCTAACATCCACATGCATATTCTCCATACTGTTCTTTATACATATCCTATGCTGCTGACAAGGAGAATTTGTTTAACAATCAAGAGCTTCTTTAGTTGGTGATCATTTCCTTTATTCTCATGACCTCAATGTTTGTTTTAGGGGTGATGCTGGGAGGAGAAAATAGTTACTAATCACTCTCAGGAGTTAAAGGGTTAAACCCTTACATCAGTATGCATATTCTCTATACTGTTCTCCACACATTTCCTAATGTGCTGACAAAGAGAATTTGTTAAACAGTCATGAGCTTCTTAAGTGGGCGTTCATCTCCTTCATTCTCGTAACCTGGACGTTTGATTCTCCGGTGATATTGTAAGGAGAAATTAGATGCTGATCAAGGGTTAAGATCTACTGACATCAAGACTATTGGCTTTAGGAAACCAGGAAGCAGACACCCAAGAGGGGAAACGATTAAATATCCGTTTTTGTTGTTACTAATTTCTTTATCTTGTTTGTTTGTTGTAGTCTTGATTTCCAAGCGAACTTCGAACTGGATGTGCCCCGTCTGTGCACTGATTTTCGTGAAGATATCGAGTTTCGCTCCTCTCTTGGCTGGCAAGCGATTTCGAGGAAGTTCTTGGCGCCTCGTAATGCAAGACTAGCCATCGCTTTGGGAGCGAATGTAAGAACACTTCTTTAGTACTGGGACAACAAACGATGAAAAAAAAATTACCCTAGTCAGAGAAGAGTTAAGGTCGAAGGAGCACATGAAGAGTATTAAATTGTTTACTGTAATTCTATTTCAAACGAGGAAATGGCTGAAAGATATTTCTGAGTTGTTGTTTTGATCGACAATTAACTCCTCTGCTCCATCACTCTAGCCTTCCATATTTGATAGATGTTGAGGGCTCGACCGCCTAAAACACAGTATGGATGAACTGTACTCCGGAATGATTAAAACCCGCACTTCATTTTATTTTAAGTTAGGAAAAAGAAAAAAATAGGCGGTAGTTCTGTAGCTGATTACCATAAAATAAGTTATAACGTTCCCAACGAAGCTAAGAAAACACGTGCTTTTGAAGAATATGAGAAAAAAAGAAATAGAAGGAAAAATTGCTTTCAATTGGAATCGATCTTCAGTCTTTTCCCTTGTGAGGTGAAGTGCAATCCATTGCGCCTCAATTGTACCGAGGTTGGATGGATATGTCGCCCCTCGATAACCTATTTTCGAACTGTAGTGGCTCATGACAACTTCGATTTTATCTAAGATTCAGCGAAAGGTGCAGAGCTTGGTACCTACCGGACCAGCTGTGGTACCAGGGTTAGCTTCACCAACGATTTCCACTGGTACACTGGCAGTCATAGTGGGAGGACTGGTAAGGTTTAAGATATTTTATTGAGTTAGAGAACCTCAACCATAAAACATAGCGGTCAAACGTCGGGCATGCGCGAGGGGATCAATTCTTGCCGGCCGTGCTTCAATTTCCCGCATAAAATTTCAAATGAAAACATAAGAAACAACCGTTGTCTTGCAAAGTAAGCGAAAGAGAATCGAAACGATTATAGAAATCTGCTAAAGGAAACAAAAGCAGGGAAAAGGAAAGAGCGAGACATTTCTAACACTAAGCTTTTTCAAGTACTGGTATCCTGTTGATTTACCGAACTTTTTTGAGCTTTACCATAAGAAAATGCTTTTGAAACATAACTTACCGGATTGTGTGGTTGTTGGTAACTCGTGTGAGACGACTTGTATTTGACAGCCTCAGAGCGCTTCACCTAGTCATGACAACCCTCGCAACATTACAGATTTATGTATGCCTATGCGAAGCGTCCATTTCAATTCGTGTTTCTCCAACTGCAGATTTGGAAGACTGTAGGATGGTGGTTCATGGCTTTGTGTGTGGGGTTATACAGTGGAGTACATGTAATTGAGCGGGTATGTTGGACCAATGGTGCTAAAGAGAAAGCTTTCAAACGACAGTTTGTGGATTACGCTTCTGAAAAGCTTCAGGCAGAAGTCAGTGTCATTAGCGCCAAGTGCAGTGGACAAGTGCAACAGTAAGTTTGGCTGCCATGTGATTTTTGAAGCGTCTTTGATGCGATTGTTGGTTGATTTTCTTTTACCTACAAAGCCTTGTGAGTAAAATTAGACGAAGTGTCATTCTTTTGACCAATTAAGGCGCACATTGTTCAAGAGTCGCAAATTTTCCCGCGGTTTACACTCGCTGTCTTGCCAATCAGACCAGGTGTCATACTTTTGACCAGTCAGGTTACAGAGAATTAAACTGACGCAAATTTTCCCGCGCTTTACGCTCGGTGCCAAACATAAATTTGTTCCTCTATTGATTGTTGCCGCGTAACAGCACCATTTTGAGCCAAAACTTAAGCCATTTATCCCATTGATGCCTTTCAGCTCAAGTGACTGTCGTGTTTGCGAAAATGCTGTCATCGTCTTGTTCAAACTCAAGCTCTCTAGCACATAGCAGAGGGTAAATTCACTTGACCTGAAACTTAATGTTGAAACGGTGCCATATGCTAAAAGTATGGAAGTGTTGATTGGATGGTACGAGAGCAGAAACCTAACGATTCCAGAATAGTCCATGGCTCTTTGATTTTGCACCCAGTGGGCATGCTATTCTGAGCATGCAAAGTCTTAGTGTCTTCACCTCTGTCATGCTATTATTTCTATGCCAAGAAAACACTGCTATTTGTTGTTAAAAGTGTTGATTCAATGGAATGTTCAGCCTGAAAACTGATTGATTCTGCAGAGGAACTTTTATACCTCGGCTGCCTTTGGTTTAACTGAATATCACTTGCTGAATAATTCCTCATACATGTTTGTTATTTTGATCATGTTATGAGGATTACTGCGTATTAATTCCACGTGTTTATAATATGTGGTGTTATCAGCGTAAACTAAAAAATTAGACCGATTCTCCACAAGTTCATTCCGGTCTTAGCTGTTATCTTGTTACAGTGCGTGTGTCGGTTCGTTCGCTTTTAATCGCGCGGTATTTCAACGGTTTGGCGATAAGATACATAAAAATGCAATAACAACTCCCCGGTTACTATAGATAAAGAAACATTTTATTTTATTTTATTTTATTTCAGAGAACTGACCTCAACCATCGCGAAGCGTGGGTCTCAGGTTCAGAGAGAAATGAAAAATTTGAAAGGAAGCATCCTCGAACTGTATAAAGAAATAGAAAGGCTCAAGAAAATGGAAAATGATGCGGAAATATTAAGGTAATTCTTTCCTACGTATTGGCAATTAATTGATGACAACAGCTGAAGCAGAAACTGAGGTTTACGGAGGGAAGGGGAAGAAATTAGCAGCGAAATGGGGGTGGGGTGGGGGAAAATGATTTTCTTCTGAACTCAAATGTATCATAACCTCCCTCTTCGCACTGGGTTGGTATTCTCTTTTGCTGAAGGGAACGGTGTGACATGGATAAGGGATTACTCACGGCTTCTTAAACTAGCATTCTCAAGAAAGGATTTTGTGAAAATGATAGGAAGGGGGGGGGGAGTGAGAATTACCCCTTGCTCCTTCATAGACCACCATTTCATCTTAGGAAATATTTTTTTGTCAAGGGGAAGGGGATAGAGGGGATTTGAGATTACCCTCAACTCTCCCTTCACAGACAACTTCGTCATCCTAAGAAATAGGAGCATCGTTTGTAATTATATAAACATTAGCATCATCAGGGAGTGTGCAGCATCAGAAGTTCTAAGTGAGCTCGCTTTCTGTCCTTAGGAACGAAGCAAGTCGGTTGGAAAGCGAACTGTCCCAATTCATCACCGAATTTGGTTTGGAAAAGAGCAAGATGTGAAAGGATGGCTTCTTGAAGTCCTAAAACTTCCGAAAATATAGTCTGTAGCTTGTGTAACTAGAAAGTTTTGGTTGGTCAATGAAGATTTATGCGGCCGAGCGGTAGTTTGTTCCTTCACATTCCCGTCGTGACTGGCACGGTTCTGTCAACCAAAACTGCCGCAAAACTGTTAGTTACGCAGGCTTTATCATCCCTATCTCCTTTTTTAGGTTTTAGGGTAATTTAGTATTATCAACAAAGTTGACAACGTAATTTGTACGGGTGGCCGTCATCGCCAAAATAAGTTGTTTGTAGTAAATAGAAGTGGTTTAATTGTCTTTAGGAGAACAGTTTATCTTATTTTAAGAGATTTTGTCTAAAATACAAATGAACAGTTAACGACTGCTAGGACGCATATATTTTTTCGTCTTTTTACGTCCGGCAGATGGACTGAGAAAATCACAGATTGGTCAGTCTTCATTGTGTACGGAACTATTTAGTTTTTTAGGATAATTTAGCATTATCAACCACGTTGACAACGTAATTTGTACGGACGGCCGTCACCGCCAAAAATCCAGGCAAAATAAATAGTTTGTAATAAACCAAAATGCATGGTCTGATTGTCTTTTGGAGAACGGTTTATCTCATTTTAAGACATTTATATAAAACACAAATGGACAAGTAGCCTTTGGTGAAATGGCATTTCAGAAACTGTGTAGCCACCCTTGTTGAACTGAATCAATAACAACACGAGTGGCCAAGTGTTTACTGAAATGGTTCAGTGTCGAAAATGACAAAGTCAAGTCTTGAATGGATCGTTGTGCTGTGACATTCATTGTCATGCCAAACGGGCCAGCTTACTGTACTTTGGTTTAGTGACTTGACACAAACGGTTCAGAGTAACGCGAAATGGCTTAAATTAGCGTCAAATGGTTAATCGTAAGCCGCAATAGCTAAGTATCGCATCAGTCTACCTACCGTAAAGTGAAATGGTTCAGCGTGACCCCAAATGATTTAGCGTGACCCCAAATGGTTTAGCGTGACCCCAAATGGTTCAGCGTGACCCCAAATGGTTTAGCGTGACGACAAATGGTCTAGTACAAAGCGAAATGGTTCAGTGTTACAGCAATTGGTTCACGTCGAAACTGCCAAAGTTTGAAATGGAGCAGTCCATGTGGGGTCTTACGTCATAGCCCTTACGTCATTTAGATCGAATTTTGGAGCGAAATTCGCCTGAACTAGGTATTCGCAGCGCCGTCCACTCGACGTTCAACAAAGGAAAAAATTACTTCTATAGCCTCGTCTACTAGATGCAGCGAACCTTATCCTGTAAATATCTTTTGTTATATTTTAGCTTGTTAGCGATTAAATTTATACCCTACTCATCGTGCCACATTATCAGTAAGTCAATGATATTTCGGATGAAACCGTTTTTATCGAGCTGCTGAACGTTTAGTAGCTTCATGATCAGTTATTGAAAATGAAAGTAAGCTTAAGCTTATATTTCACAATAATATATTTTCCTATCCTTTCAAACCATATTTTTTTTACCTTCAATTTTAATAGTTTTTTAGCCGCCTGTAAGTTGTAGTTTCGTCGTCTTAAAACAATGAATCGCTTTATCACGTTTCCTAGCGATGGTTCTTACTGTCTAGACTGTCAATGTGCTGTCGCCTAAAATTATACATTTTATCTGTATTTTTGTTAATCCCTTTGTTTTAGATTCTTATTTATCTTGAGGTTGTACATGTTGTAAAATTTCTAATAGCTACGGCTTAACCATGGTGAGAATTCTCCATTTAAAGTACAGCAGATTTCACATTAAAAAGCTGAAAAAAGAAAAACTGGCTTATAGCAATTTGAACTCCCAACACGAGGTCTGATAATAAGAACAAAAGATTGCTATCATTGAGAACCGCTTCACTGTTCTCGTGTAGATGATAAGAACCGAAAAGTATTTCGTCGTGAAATTTGTGGGCCATTTAATAAAATCTGCAGTTAAGCGTTAACCCCGCGTTTGCACTAGCACTTGAGTTTTTAGAGGAAATTTTTGTGGCCCTTTTCTTCGATTTTCATCTTGTGCATAATATATTTAACACAGTTATTTCCCATTGCAAGGCTAGGCCAGTTCACATGGGTTCAAGGCAGCAATTTGTACAAAAAAGAGGTCCTAGCTGTTTCAGAGGCCAGTGACGATGGTCCTGTTGATGTTCAATAATGCTAATAAACCGCTCTTAATTTACATTTATGGTCATTTGACCTCTTTCGTTGTTTTTTCTGTGGCTGACGACGTTGACGATGATGTTGACGACGCCATTTTCCCGCACGTGCTGTGCTCTGAGCCCACGGTAAAAGTCGCAACAAAAGAGTCGCGGAAAAAAAGTCGCGGAAAGAGGTCGCCAAAAAACTCGCAATAAAAGGCGCGAAAACACAGTCGCCTAAAGAAAGGCACTGTGAAAAAAGTCGCGAAAAAAAGGGAGTGTAAAAAGAGTCGCGGAAAAAAGGAGTGTAAAAAAAGTCACGAAAAAAAAGGGGCTTTAAAAAAAGACGCTAAAAAAGAGGAGAGTGTAAGTTTTGGATGGCATCCTTCAGAGGCCCCTTAAGGGTGATTTCTTTTAGCCCTTTTAATGATAGAAATCCCCCGCGCAAAATTTGATTTATTTCACAATTTCCTTGTTGATTCAGGAAATGTGAAGGTGAGATAATTATTGATAAATAGTTAGTTAGTTATTGGTCACCCAGCTTAAGCGCGTTAATCATTAAAGGGCTTCAGTTTTCTTCAGTTCCCTGGGGGCGTTTTTTATTATTCATTTTATTCAAGAGATATTTCAATGAGGCATTGTACCTCAAGTGTGAGCCTTCTTGACGAGTACTGAAAGAAAGTTTCTAGTTTCAAAAATAAAAAAATACATGAAAAAATACATTATGAGGTAGTCTCAAATACTGTTCATGAGCACAAATTGAAAAACAGGAAGATTGAAAAAGATATAAGTGATTATCCATTTAGTTAAAGGAAGTTTTTTTTATTAATAACATATTTCATTATGTGCTCTATCCAGTATAAACAGAAACTACGGTATCCAATTTAGACTTCAATTGACAATGTACATCTATCCCAAGTAGTACACAGGGAGAGAGAGTGCCTCTTTGGTTTAACGAGTTGTTTTATGCATAACATATAAAACTAAGAAGGCCTTAAGAACAGTCAAAAGGAACAAGAAAGGTTAAGATATTTTATTAACCTCAGTTATTGTCATCTCTCAGTACCAACAAATACACCTTTCACTACCAAATCTAGTTATAGATGCTCTTGTCACGCTACCGCAGAGGAACACACCTTCAGCCTCTACTGTAGAAGTTGCAAGTTCCAGAGTGCAAAAGCACCTACTGCTGCCAAATCTAGCAATAGAACTCCAGGTGAGACCTCGCAAAGGAACACACCTTTTGCCTCTATAGGAGAACTTGCAAGCTCCAGAGTACTTAAGCTCCTTCCACCGCCAAATCTGATAATAGAGTTCCAAGTCAGACCTCTCCCTAGTCGTGCTGGCACAGAGGAATACACCTTCCGTCTCTATAATAGAAGTTGCAAGCTCCAGAGTACTTAGGCACCTTCCGCCACAAAATCTAGCTACAGAACTCCAGCTGAGTCCTCGCTAAGGGCTGCAGAGGAACACACCTTTGCCTCTATAGTAGAAGTTGCAAGCTCCAGAGTACAAAAGCACCTTCCGCCGCCAAATCTAGTAATAGAACTCCAAGTGAGACCTCAGACTAGTTGCGGCGCCACAGAGGAAATACCCGCTTCCGCTTCTATAGTAGAAGTTGTAAGCTAACGAGTACTTGAGCACCTTCCCCTGCCTAATCTAACTATGGAACTCCAGGTGAGGTCTTGTAGAGGAACACACCTTTTGCCTCAATAGTAGAAGTCGCACGCTCCAGAGTACAGTGCCGCCAAATCTAGTTATTCAACTTCAGGTAAAACCTCGTCCTAGTTGCAGCACCGCAGAGGAATACACCTTCCGTCTCTATAGTAGGAGTTGCAAGCTCCAGAGTACTTAGGCACCTTCCGCCACAAAATCACCAAAAAAGTGGTTGAAACTAGAATATAATCACCATTTTCACGCTCGCCATTTTACGATCAAAGCTGGTGCGGTGCTGAAAGAATGTAGACCATATTCGTGGGAAACTGTCTTACTCACCTGGTCGCCGTGATTTCAGGAATTTCCCGTTTTAGTTGCGCCACCATAGCGTCTCCGCAAAGCCTCTGGTCGAACTTGACCTTTTTGCCATCTGGGGCAAGAGTTGGGTTTTGACTTACTTGCGCAATGTCGTCCACCCGTAGGGCTTCGCGCCCGGTAGCCAGCCTGTAATTTGTGAGTCCTGTGAACCAACTTGTGCATTGGGGTCAAAAATTGGCCCGATGGCTCCTACGCTGTGATCGCCAGACATTTCAAGATTTGTTTGCACAGATGAAAGAAGCTGTTGTAGGGAGCGAAAAGAACTTCTCTCGTTCATCTGAAAAGTAGTGTCACTTAGAGAAACGCCCCTATGCTGGTATCAAATGTAACATGAACGTCATATCCGAAATGATGATTACTGAAGTTGTGACATTTCTAATTTTTAGTTTTTCATAATAAGGTGAATTTAGGATCCAAGGCTTTGCACGAGCTGGTTAACATTCTTGAGATTTTATAAAATTACACGTCAGTCAATTCCGTACTTCAAGTCAGAGTTACGAGTTTGTAACTCCAGGAAATCGTTATGTCACTTGCAGTTAATTTCTTACAAAGAGGTGAGGCACAACAGAGAAAAACCTTTTGTTTTAATTTAATTTCACTGCGGGACGTGTGCTATGAATCTTTCACAAGGTCCCTGTTTACTGTTAAAATTATAGAAAACTCGAAGTACAGTTGGCGATAAATTGTCGAAAAATTAAAGGGAACTGTAACTGCCCGTCTCGTGGAAGGAAAACCTCTCTTTCAAAGCTACGATGCATGTAAACAAGTTTCCTGGTATAGATTTCTTTCCTGGTGTCTTGTAATTGGTATCCTTCAACCCGCATCAGGTAGGTAATTTACATTGCATGCTTGCCTGCTCACTAGCTTATCATACTTCTTTCCAAGAACACTTACTCAAACGCCATTGTGGTCATTATGGGAAAAGTATTCGTATTCCACTGCTTCTTCTGCGATCTACAGGGGCGCAAATTATTTTGATCGCGAAAGAAAAGG